ATTACAACCACAGCAATGGCTCCCGCCTGATACTTCCTCACAATGTATTCCCAAATCGCGCTCTCGCGTGGGAATTCCTCACAATTGCGAGGGCCTTACTGCCGCTGACCCTTCAGGGAGACGACGACGACGACGACGACGACGACGACGACGACGACGACGACGACGACGAAGACGACGACGACGACGACGACGACGGGGGCGGCGGCGGCAACGACGACGACGACGACGACGACGGGGGCGGCGGCGGCAACGACGACGACGCTGACGTGGGCCAGGGACCTCAAGGATGGTTCTTGGGGTCTCTTCGGACGTCTCTCGGGGGCCTCTGGGGAGGAATTTGGGGGCCTCTTGGGAGCCTCTTGGGAGGCTCTCCGGGTCTTCTGGGGACCTCTTGTGGCCCTCTTGTGGCCTCTGGGGGTCCTCTTGGGGCCTTCTGGGAGCCTCGTGGGGCCGAAGGTTCGAAATGTCCGTTCGGGTCTCCCGTTTGAGCACGCTCTTGGAGCCGCACGATGCAGCTGATATAGTTTCACACGCGCAGAACTTGAGACGTCTCGAGTCACCTTGAGAAGAAGAAGGGGGCATCTGGGGCCGTCTTGGAGGCGTTTTGGGCTGTCTTGGGGCCCTCTTGGGCTGTTTGGGGGCCCTCTTGGAGGCCTCTTGGGCCGTCTTGGGGGGATCTTGGGGGCCCCTGGCGCCGTTTTGGAACGGCGGGAAAAAATAACGAGAACGCCCAAATCTTTAAAAAGCCAATGCAAAATCAATGAATTTAGCCTCTTGGGGCTCTCTCGGGAGTGCTCTTGGAAGCGTCTTGGGGCGTCCTGGAGGCCTCCTGGGCAGTCTGGAGGGCGTGAAGGCGTTTTGGACCGATCGTTTGGCGATTGGGGACCCTATTGGAACGTCTCGGCGGCCTCGTGGGGCACTCTTGGCATGTCTTGATATACTTCCTGAGGCCCCAGGGCCCCCAGGGGGGGAAAAACGTATCTTGGCGGCGACCGCCCCCAGGACCCCCCAGGACCCCCCTGAGACCCCCCCCGCGGCGCGGGGAAGGGATCAAAGGGAAGGGGTTTCCCTTCGACTCGATTGCTACATTGCTAGACTTTTCTCTCGCTGACAAGCTTGAGGAGGGGTGCAAGGAAAGGGGACGACGGAGACGACGACTGACGGAGACGACGACTCGAACAGCCAAGCCCCTCACACACGCCGACAGGGCCGGCGGATTTTTACAGGAATCGCGCTCTCGCGTGGGCCTATCTCACAATTTACTCGGACGCCGCGCCCTCGACACTCAGCAATCACGCTCTCGCTGAGGATTCCCTAGCGATTTATGTGAGAATCGCACTATCGCTCGAGACTGCCTCGCGATTCATGCAAGACGCACGCTTCCTTCGGTCGGTCATTTCTTCCCCTGCCTTCGGGCTACACGAACGTTGCAGGTAAGAATGCTACACCTAAGGGGGTACGATCGAAGACGAAGAGGGCGGGTCTCGAAGGTTTGGGATATACGTGCTCAATGGCACGCGACCATATCACAGCGAGCAGCCTTGCAATGATTGTTGCTATTGTTGTTTTTGTTGTTGCTGTAGTTCGGACCAAACACGTAGTCTGAGCCCCACCATTCCTCCTTGTAGAGAACAAGGCGCGAGCCCCGGCAGGGGCATTTTGTATGGAGAAGAACACAAGGTGTTTCGGAGGGGGGGGTCAGCAATCATTGATATTTGGAAGTGAGAGCTCGACAACAACAACAACAACAGCAACAACCGTTTTAATATTGTTCGCTCGTATCTGCTCGTGTGTCAGTCATCATGTATATCCCATTCCTTCGTCTTCGATCGTACTGTATATCGTCCTTTCATGACACGGGTAGTTGGCGTAGGCTTTGAAACAAGAAGGGGCGGGAAACAGGAATAACGAGAGAACGCGAGGAGGAACGGAGGTCGGGAAGGGAGGGAGAGGAGGAAAGGTGCAAGGGGGAAGGAGAAGGATGGAGCACGAGAGAGATAGCACGAGAGGGGCTTGGAGCAGGAAAACAAGCGGCAGAAGCAGACGGGCTTGTCGGGCAGGCGGATCCTAACGGGCGGACTGTGCGGACGGACCCACACGGCCGGGTCGAGCGTGCGGGTCGTTGAAGCGTCAGCCTGGCATGAATCACGAGGAAGTCTCTAGCGATAGAGCGATTACAGATCAATCGTGAAGAAGCCTAGAGCGAGAGCACGATTTGAGAGTCGAGGGCCTGGCGTATCAGTCAATAGCGGGAAAATCCCATGCGAAAGAGTCAGTAATTGGTAAATTGTAGGGAAGTTTCGTATGGGGGGGAACCGCCAATAATTTGTGATGAAATATTCGGCAGGAGCCTCCGGTGCACCTCTCCTCTCTTGAATTGAAGTACCCCTTCCGGGGCTCGCACCGTGATTCTCACAACAGAAAGCATTGCGCCTCAGACTGGGCCCCTGGCCCTCGAACTACAACAACAACGGTTCCCGCCCGATATTTCCTCACAACGTATTCGGATCCGAGCTCTCGCGTGGGGCTTCGCCACAACTCATGCAAAACTTGCGCTCTCCCGTGAGACGTCTTTGCCAGTTTTTGATACGCCGCGCCCTCGACACTCAAGAGTTATGCTCTCGCGCTGAACCTCCTCACAATTTACATGGGAATCGTACGCGCTATCGCTAGAGACTTCCTTGCGTTTCATGCAAGGCTAACGCTTAAGCGACCCGCCCGCTCGACTTGTCCGTCTGGACCCGCCCGCCCAACCCGCCCGTTAGGGTCCGCCCGCCCGGCCCGCCCGTTAGGGTCCGCCCGCCCGGCCCGCCCGCCTATTTGTGCTTCGTTATTCTCTCTCCCCCTCGCCCATTTCCTCCTCCCTCCATGCCCCGGTTTTAGGAGCTGCGCCAACTACACGTGCAGGTAAGGAAGAAAAAATCCCAAGGAGGGGTTGATGGAGGACGAAGAGAGTGGGCATCGAGGGCTTGGGATATACGTGTTGGGTGACACGCGAGCAGGCAAGAGCGAGCAGTCTCAAGATCATTCAATCGCTTCGCTCATTCCGCCAGCCCATATTGCCTCGCCGCTTGGGGACCGTGTTGGGGCCTCTTGGGGGCCTCTGGGAGGCAGTTGTGAGGCCTCTTGGGGGCCGTGTTGGGGCCTCTTGGGGGCCTCTTGGGGCTTCTGGGGGTGCCTCTTGGGGGCCCCTTAGAGCCTCTTGGGGGCCTCTTGGGGCCTCCTGGGGGCCTCTTGGGGCTGTGGGGCCCTCTTGGGCCATCTTAGGCGCTCTTCGGCTGTCTTGGGGCCATCTTGGGCCGTCTTGGGGCCCTCTTTGAGGCTTCTTGGGCCGTCTTGGGGCAGTCTTGGGGCCTCTAGGGCCGTCTTGGAGCGTTGGAAAGCCGAAAAGGCGAGAAGGCCAAAGTCTTTCGAAAACCATGGTACCATTTGACGATTTTGCTGGGGCTCTCGTGGGAGGCCTCTTGGTGGCCTCTTCGGGGGTCTTGTACGCGTCGTGGGCCGTCTGGAAGTAATCGTAGGTGTCTCGGGCCATCTGGAGATCATCTTGAGCGTCTTGGAACGATCTTTCGTCGACTCGGGGCCTCTTTGGCCGTGTAGGGGGCGTCTTTGGCCGTGTAGGGGGCGTCTCGGCGCCCTCTTGGCGCGCTCTTGGAGCGCCCTGGGGAAATCAGCCTGGCATCGCCCAGACATGGCCTGCGCATCGCCGGGGCATCGCCCGGGGATCGCTCAGGCATCGCCCGGGCATCGCCCAGGCATCGCCCGGGCATCGGCCAGGGTACTTTTCGTCCAGGGGCCACCACGCGCGCGCGAACTAGAAATCCGTTTAACCTGTTACCAGAGATCTGGCCCGTTGGGCCTGCGAATTGTTGTTGTCGCAAGCTGTGGGGCCAGGGGCGCAGTTTGGAGACCCAATATGTCCCCTTGCAAAAAGGCATGGCGCGAGCCCCCAGAAGGGCACTGCAAGTTCAACAATAATCAACATAATCCTGTTCGTTCTAAACTGCTCGCGTGCCGCGCAACATGTATATCCCAATCCTTGATACCCGCGCTCTTTGTCTCGATCGTCCCCCCCTTGGGGGCACGTCTTCCTTACCTGTGGGGCCCTCTTGGGCCATCTTGGGTCCCGCTTGGGCAGTCTGGGGGGCCCTCTTGGGAGCCTCTTTGGTTGTCTCGGGCCGATCTCGGGTGCTTCTGTGGCCGTCTTGAAGCGTCGGAAGGCCGAACACGCGTGAACGCTGAAACCCTTGAAACCCTCGCAGAAGATAATTGATGTTGGCTCCTCGGGGCCTCTTTGGGAGCCCACTGGTAGCGCTGTTGGGGCGTTTGAAGGTCCTGGAGCCTTCTTGGACCATGCAGGACCATCCTTGCGTATTGAACGACGCTCTTAGGATCTCTTGGACTATGTCGGGCCCTCTTGGGCTCTCCTGCAGGCCTCGTGGAGCGTTCCTGGATCGATCTTGAGGGTCGTAAAGGCCGCGCCCAGACCGAAGACTATCACCGACCTCAGCCTGGCGTGCGAAGTCCGGGACATTTTTCACCGAGGGACCCCCGGGGGCCCGCTCCTTGCGCGCGATCTGGCAACACACAAACGCCTGGAACCTCTCACCGGAGATCCTCTCACACCTTTAGCTCGTAGGGCCCGCGAAGGCGGTTCGTTCTGCGCGCATGGAGGGGCGGAGGGAGGATGATGGAGGGGAGGATGGAGGGGAGGCGGATGACCAAGACCAAGTTTCCCTGCATAGGAAATAAGTCAGGTCACAGGTTTTCGTGGCAGCGTGTGGTCCTGGGCGGGAGGTTCGAGGGGAGGGGAGGAGGATGACGCACTGGATGAGAAGAGGAGGATGGTGGTGAGGAGGATGAGGAGGAGGAGGGGAGGAGGATGAGATGGAGGAGGAGGAGGAGGAGGAGGAGGAGGACGAGGAGGAGGGAAGGGGAGGATGAAGGGCATCGGATGATAGGGGGGTGTAGCGGCGCCCGTCTCCCTGGCGCCGCAGACCGTGGTCGTCAACGCCGTCGGGAAGCAGGTCGGCGAGAGGTGCATGTGAGCACGGGCGCCTCGGCCTGCTGACGCCATGAAGCTGCACTGCAACGCGGGAGCCCCTCCCCTCGCACAGCCGCACAAACCCTCCTTCAGGAGGAGAAAAAGCACAGACACAAGTGATCGTCCATTCCCTAGAACATATGGGAAAGCATGGGCAGTGGGGGGAAGGCAGAAACCCAGAACATATGGGAAACCGTGGGGAATCCTTTTCTTTGTGTATTCGTTTGTGTGTCCCAGGGCCCCTCCACTCCTCTGAATTCGCGCTCGCGTGAGCACGGGCGCCTTGGCGGGCTGGCGCCATGAAGGGGGAGGAGGAGGAGGAGGAGGAGGAGGAGGAGGAGGAGGAGGAGGAGGAGGAGGAGGAGGAGGAGGTGGGAGCCCCTCCCCCCGCACAGCCGCACATCCCTCCTCTGAATTCGCGCTCGCGCCTGTACGGCCGAGTCTACACAGCTCGCGCTGGCGGCGCATGAATTTGGCGGCGGTCACGGCGCGAGCCGGTCTGCCTCGTGGGCAGCGGGTGGTAAAGTGCGGCGGCGACGCTGTGAGTGACGACGGTGCTGACGATGCTTGCGTAGCTGGTGATGTAGTAGGTTGCGGCAGCATGACAGTGAGGCGGAGGAGGAGGCGGAGGAGGAGGAGGAGGAGGAGGAAGAGGAGAACCAGAGTAAACAAGCAAACATGCGTCAACGATGTTGCAAAAGACACCCTCCCGTCCCAAGTTCTCTCGTGGGAAAACCCCCCATTCCCCTTCCCCCCCAAAGACGAGCGCCCTAAAGGGGCCTTCAATTCAGGTTGGAGCCTGGGTTTGAAACGGAGCCGCCCGCCACCCCTCGGCCTACAAGGAATGCCACGATGTGGCATCAGAAAGTTCAGGGAAGAGCCCAGCGACAGCCCCGCTTTGAAACGGGAGCCGCCGCATGGGGGAGGAGGAAGAGGAGGAGGAGGAGGCAGGGGAGAAGAGGCCTGTGTTTCGCCTCTTGACGCTCCAGAGCGCGACTCGGGGATTGATTTGGTAGAAGGCTCGTCAGGGCCACTCGTACAGAGCGCATCGAGGTCGTGAACAGCACGCTCAAGCGTTTAAAACACCTTCAATGGGGGCACTGCTCGGAGGAGAACCATGGCGCTGATGTCCAGGGCCTCCTTTGAAACTTCGGGGGTGGACAGAACCCCCAATAGTGACACGTCGATTAGTGAATTGTCCGTTTTCGGTTTTCGAGAGGGCGCCGTGGCCGTTATTCTCCAGGCTTGCGCCCGCCAGGTTTGGGCCCGAAGTCGTTTTCACTAAACCACGTTTTACTAAAGGGAGGTCTGTCCATCCCCGAAAACTGCTGTTGCATGTGGGACCTTCGTTCAAGGAGCCACTATCAAGGAGCTTGGTTTGTTGCATTCTCAGGCGGCAGCGTCCTTCGACCCCAAGACCAGCGGCAGGAGCCACAGCGGCGCGCTTCTGTCGGCTTCCCAGCATCATGTTGACCTCATTTGGAGGGCCACGCTCGAGCCCATCAAAGCCTTTGCCCACGTCCTTCGGTGCGACGGGATATCTAGGCATGTCCTCGTTCGTGATCTTGAGCAGGCAGCTGCTTGTCTTTCTGACAAAGATAGCAATTGGCCGCAGTCGCGGGGGTCCCTCGAAGTCTTGTACGCCACCTTGGACAGGCTTGTCATCACTGTTGGGCAAGCTCTTCTTTGTGAGGCTTCCTGATAGCATGATCCTCCGGCTTGAAGACATGATTTCGTGTGTTGTTGGCGTGGTCTGGCCATGTTGTCAGGGATCGGTGGCACCGACAGGTGTCTGAGCACCTGAATGTTCTTGAGTTTCGAGGTGGTTGAAGGTGGCTTCTGGATCACTCCCCTGAAGTATCTCCTTGGGCCTTGGGCCCAAACGTGGCCTCAATTGGCAGCAACGGGGTTACCTTCGCAGCGCCTGCATTGGAGCTCAATGGCCGCAAGAGCGACACCATCGTCAAAGTTGGACAGGCTCTCCAACGTGCCTTGCATGATAAAAGGAGTCTGGCTCCCTTTGCACCGCCATGTTGGCTGCGAGGCCATGCTACAGGCTGTTGGTGAGTCTCTTCCAGTGCACATTGCTGCCCTATTGGGACCAGCCGATTCCAACGAGCTGGCTCGTGTGCTTGTTGAGCGTGCTTTGTTCCCTCTGTCCAAGCCGCCTGACCTGTTGCTGGAGTATCCTGGGGATCCGTGTCTAGAGTTTTTGTTCGGGAGCCCTCTGGATAGCTCTGGGGATCAGTTCGTTGAGGGTTCGCGTTTCCAGGGCTTGATTCTATCGATCAGGTGATTGCTGCCGTCACGGGCCTGCTCCCATCTCCGCTGCAGGACACTGGCGGGGCTGAGTTTTATTCACTGGCTGCTGCTCTTTTGCGCGCTGCTTCTCCTCTTGTACTTTACACGGACGAGGACTTCGTGTGAAAGGGTTACAGCTCCCGTGGGCCAGCAGCCATCACAGCGCTTATTGTTGCTTGGGCGTGTCTTTGGCGTCTGGTATGGGAAAATGGTTGACAACTGGGTAAGGAATCCGCCTGGGCTGATGAAGGTCAAGGCGCATGCCACGCAGAGGATGGTGAATGATGGGGGGGGGCATTCGCTAAGGTACCAGCTTGGCAGTGATGCCGCCGACGCCGCTGCCAGGAATCGTGCAAATGCGATGCGTCCGTATCATTTGTTTTTGAAGTTGCTCTCCACGTGGCGCACAATGTTTTCAATCACTGTTCGGTGTTTTGCTCGTGCGGGCGAAAGGACCGCTTCTATGGATCCTGTGCACCGTCAGCGCTCGCATCGTCTAGGTAATTAGCTCATCTTAGTGAAACCCCATCCTCCCACCCTTGCTCAAAGGATCCTTGACGCGTAGGGGCGTCTCAGAGGTCCTGGATCCACGCAGCATGCGGTGTCGACTTTCTTGGTCGGTGCCGTTCAGTTCTTTGTGTGCACGCATTGTTCGGACAGTAACTCATCGCGCGTGGTGCACCTGGCCTGCGAGTGCAAGCCTGCGAGACTGAGCAACGACCGACGTCGAGTGCTGGCTTGCCTTTTGAAGAGTGGTGTCAAGCACCAGGGTCGCGTGCAGCCTTCCTCTGGGTTCCGCCTGATCAGTTCGTCTGCAGGCGGCGCATCATCTAGCGCTGTGCCGTCTCAGGAGGAGGAGGAGGAGGAGGAGGAGGAGGAGGAGGAGGAGGAGGAGGGGGGCGGGGAAGGGGGAGGGGGACGGAGGGGGAGGGTGCAGGCTCTTCCCGTTCCTCGAGCTGGTGCCAGTGCGTCCGGGGCTGGGGCCCGGCGGCCCAGCCTGACCTTTACGGAGGGCGTGGGAAAGGTGGCCCGCTGGGACGGGCCGCGCCCGGCTGCGGTCCTTTTGTTCTGGTCTGGCTGCTGCTCGCTCCCTGGCGCGCCTAAGTGGCCTTGCCCGCTGCATCCTGCTCGTGCTCCCGCATGCCCCTCCTGGCACGCGGCCTCGTGCTGCGCGCTGGTGCTTCTCCTCGCGCAGTCTTGCCCAGCCAGCTGACCGCAGTGACTGGCCGTGCAGGCTGCGGCCTAGCTTGTGGCGAGGACGGCACGACACTGGCTGTGCCTCTTCTACTTCTCTTGTTTTCGTTTCGTCGCGGCGCCAGAGCTCCCTCGGGCGCCGCCTCTCGGAACCCCCAGGCTGCCCGCGCTTGGTCTGGGTCTTGGTTCCGTTCGTTCTGGCCTCCGAGGGTGCGTGCGTCTGCCACCTCGAGGTCTATCCGATGCGAGCTTCTCTTCCCCCTAGTGGTGCTGAGCCAGTCGACGCCTGTGGTTTCGTTTCCGGACACGCAGTGGGGCAAGTGGTCCCGATCGAAGGGGAGTGTGCCATTTGCCTCTGCTGCGCCTGCGGTGGGCGGACTCAGGCTGCCATGGTGCTGTGCCCAGGAGGAGGTAGAGGAAAAGGAGAAGGAGGTAGAGGAGGAGGAGGAGGAGGAGGAGGAGGAGGAGGAGGAGGGGGAGTGAGGAGCTGGGACGCATTCAGGTGTGAAGACCAGCGAGGAACGAGGCATGGGATGAGGTGGAACAGAAGGAGTGAGAAGGATAAGAAGGAGGAGCAGAGGAATGGCGAGGAACGAGCAGCAACCATGGTGGAGGAGGAACGATCAGCAAGGACCGTGGGCCAAAATCAGAATGATGAATAGGACGAGAGGAGGATGCTGCTCTTGTTGATGTCATTGTTGCTGCTGGTGGCCATGATGATAACCATGACGACTCCGATGACGACGGCGATTCTGATGATGCTGATGCTGGTGATGCTGTGGCCATGTACGATGTTGATGCAGCAGTTGTTGGCGACAATGCTGGTGAGGACTGCTTGGGTGATGGTAATGCTGTCGTCGATGACGGTGGCGGTTCCGACGAAGGCAACGTCGATGACAGCGATGATGTGGCTGTTGCTGATCATGGTGGATCCTGATGACACGGGGTAGTATGATGATCCTGGACAAGGGGATGAGGAGTGTGAAGAGGAGGCACGTGTAGACCACGTGAAGGAGGAGCAGAAAGAGGAGCAGGACAAAAAGGAGCTCGGGGAGCCGGAGCAGACAGAGGGATAGAGGGACAGAGGGGGGATCGGGACGTGGAGGACGACGACTGCGACGGCACAAGGCCGTGCCCTTCGGCTGCGGGCTCACTCGGCGGGGGCCATTGTCACCTTTGTTCGGCCCACGAGCGGCGAACATATCCGTATCCGCGCCCTCGCGGTCTGCATTCCGGGGCGCGACCTCGCGGCTACGCGGTCGCACGGGTACGCTCCGCGCGGGGCATCCGCGAAGCAGCGCGGTCGCGGCCCATGGGGCCCGTCCCGCGAGGCCGCGGATGAGGATGTGCATCTTGCCCACGGTCAGCCGCGGGGCGCGAGGGCGCGAACCCAGACGTGCGATGTCCCGAGTTTCTCAATCGGGCCCCCAGACGTCGGGGCCCCTTCCACGTGGCCTGTTTTGCATCCTGCGCCAGCTTTCGGGGCTCGCGTAACGGGGGTCAGCGCTAACGGGGGTCAGTCAACCCCCTCTGGCTGACCCTGGTTTGGGAGCCACGCAGGCTTCGGGCTGCGCACCGACAGCCCCCCCGGGCAGCAGCCCTGGCTGGCCTTAACAGGCCCCCCGACTGGTCCCAGCAGGCCTCGACAAGAGTGGTCAGTCCAGAGCGTTCTTAACATCTCAACCCTCTGGCGCGGTAGGGGCGCCGCTGGAGGCTTCGACGGGATGTTGAAACCGCCCAGGAGTGCTCGGGGGGGCTTCGTGAGGCCAGCTGCAACTAATTACTCGCGGGGCCTGTTCAGGGCAGCCGGGACTGCCCTGGGAGGCTGTCTGTTCTGCGCGCAGCCCGAAGGTTCACTACTTCCACCCTTCCCTGAGATCCGAGGTTGCAGAAATATGCAACATCGGCAGAAATCACGACGGGAGCCTTCGACCCTATTTTTCTGCGTCATGTTTCGAGCCAGATCGATCTGTGAGGGTCCCAGGGTCTGAAGCCGGGCCAACACATCCCGTTGTGACAAAAATGCAACGCTGGGATTTTGAGGGTCCGCTGGCCCGAGTTTGGGAGCTACTATGTGACGCCGGCTGGGTTTCGCGACGGGGCCCTTGCCGACTCGGGCTTGGGCTGACCCGGGTTTGGTGCGTCCCCGACCTCGGCTGCGGGCGCCTGGCGGGATGGAGTGCCCCAGGCGCGGGATCGGGGGGCCGTCCTCGACGGCGTCGTACGGGGGGCAACGCCAGGGGGGGACACGGTCCGGGCTTTGGGACAGCGTGTCGCTCCGCCGGCTCTGGCCCACCTCGCAATTGGGCGCGATACGCTCTCCGCGACACGTTCCCCGCTGGCAAGGGGCAGCGTGTAGCCAGAGCCGCCGCGGCGGCACGCAAGTCAAAGTTTCCCAGTCGTGGGCGCAGGGGCGGACGCGTCGACCCCCCCCCCGCCCATCCGGGTCCATCTCGATCCGAGCGGTCTGATCCGATGCCTGCTCTGGCCGGCCCCATCCGGTTCGACTCCGACCTTCCGACGATCCGCTGCAGTCGGCACTGGTTGGCAGGTCGATGCTGCCGAATCAAGGGTACCCTCGTGTCCTCTGTCTCGCGTCCTCTGCCTCCTACATTCCTAATTGTGGCAATGTGGCACTCGGAAGGGCCTTGTGCCCTCTCGCATGTCCTGTCCAATCAAGTCCGACTGTGCTGCTCGATGTTCACGTGGCGCTGATGTGCAGCCTGGCGCAGCACAGCCGATTCGACGTCGAGGCCGTGCCGATACGGCCCGGCCCGATGCACGTGCCGCTACGATTCGGCTTCCGGACTCGGTGCTGGCTGTGCTTGCCCACTCGTCGCCAACAGGGGCCCGATGGCCCACCCCTCCCAGGACCGGCAGTTATCGTTTATTCGATCCCCATCCCCGTCCCCATCTAAATTACCAAATGACCGCCACCGTTTGATTCGAGACCCCCACCAAATTACCACCCCAGTTGGGGATTGCACCCCTCGACACCCGAAGGGAAGGAACGACCTTTATCCCTTCCTTAGGGGGTAAATCGGCCAGAGGGGCCCAGGCCACGCCGCTGGGGATGGGGATCGGTTAAACGATACTCATAGGACCCTGCGGATTCGCTACCGCGGGCGCAGCGCCGATCTCTCGGCGATGCATCGCCGATTCCAGGTCGATGTTTCCTGCCCTGAGCTGTTCCGCCCTGGCGTTGCCCCCCCCATCGCACGAGCGGTGGGGGAGGGAAGGCAGACGGGCCCAGGAACGGGATGAATCGCTATCAGAGCGACGCTCTGAGAAGGCCGTGGGGCCCGATACACCTTCAGAGCCGCCAGATCTCAGAGATCCCCGAGATTCTAGACGCTTCGCGTAGTCCCACTGGTGCGCCCTTCCACTCGATGGATCTGGGCTGTCGCATCTCAGTTGTGGAAGGTTCTCCTGTCATCATGCTCCACACCCTGGATGCGCGTTCTGGCGTCGCGACTTTGATTCGCCGTCAGGATTTTCCGCTGGACCTATGTCCCCAGTCAGTCTGTGTTACCCGTCAGACTCCCTGGATCGATGTCCTCGGGAACGTTCCTTTCTGTTCGCATCTGAACTGCTGGGAACGCCTCACGCGCCATTTTGGCTGCGCTTGGTCTCCTCGGTGCCTGTCCTCAGGCTCCCTGGATGCACCGTTGCATGCCCGTCCAGGGGCTGTCTCAGACTCCCTGGATTGCACGTCGGCTCTGCCGCCCTGGGCGCTGCCCCCCCCCGCCGCCTGATCCGCGGCCCCCGCGCGCGCTCGGCAATTTAGTCGCGGCCGTAGCCCGCCCGCGACCTCCCGCCGCTGGCGCTTCCGCCTGCGGCTGTAAAAAAAAGTGGTCCCACTGGTGAGCTTGCAGTGCGCCGATCAGTTCAGCTTCACCCGTCAGCCCGCAGCTGCTGTCTGAGTGGGCCGGCCGGCCTGCGCCTGTCTTAGCTAATTCGCCTAGTTCGCGTCCCGGACTTTGCCTTCGCCGCCTGACCGTCGTCTCGTGGCCGCGACCAAAAGGTAACCCCACTGGCTTCTGCCCCTCTCCGCGGCGTTTCGGCATTTAGGCCTGACCCTTGTGACGGCGCGCGGCTCTCCCGCTTGCGCTCGCGAGCAACAACAACAACAGAAAGTACCCCCACGAGCTCATCCGGACACTTGGCTCCAGGAGGCGGCCGGGCCCCCCCGCCGTGCGCCCGCAGGAGCGGCACGGCGCGCAGGCGGGGCGGGCCCAATGTCGTCGGCGTCGTCCGCCGGGGGCTCCTGCGGCGCCTGCCGGCTTGGCTGCGGCAGGCCCGTCGCGCCGGGGCTGACGAGGTTCAGGAGAGAAAAAAAACACAGACACAATTAATCTTCGACCCCCCAGAGAAAAAAGGGAAATATGGGAAGTGGGGGGGAAAACAAACACCCAGATAATGTGGGGAAATATGGGTATCTTCTTTTATGTGTGTGTATTTACTTGTGTGTCCCAGGGCCCCTTCAGAGGTCCGGGAAGCAGTTCGACACCTGCTGCCGTCCCTGCGCCAAGGGCCAGGGGCACGACGCCGCCTGCGACTTCAGGGTGAATGTCAAGGGCGACTGGGAGATCAAGCTGGCGGGCGAGTGGAAGCTGGTGGGCATCGCCGAGCGGAGCTTCATGGAGGGCCTCGAGCGCAGGGGCGAGTCCAGCGGCACCGTTCAGCTTCGGGGTCAGGATTACGAGTTCGACCTCGCAACGATGTCGCAGAAGAACGTGTCCACAGGGAAGAGGCGACCGCTCCGTCGCGTCTTCAAGCCCACCGTAGAGTGCGACGAGTCGGTCAAGCGCGCCGACGAGTCCTTCCTCTCCAACTCGCCCCCGGAGCCCTTGGAGGTGACGATGAACGTGTACGATGTGAGCACGGACTTCAAGGTCCAGACGGTGAACGGGATCCTTTGCATGCTGGGCTCCGGAGCGTACCACGTGGCGATAGAAGTGTTCGGGCTCGAGTGGTCCTTCGGCTACTGCGAGGAGGGCACGGGCGTGTTCCGCTCCGCGCCCCGCGCGTGCCAAGCCTTAAGTCGGGCCTGTCCCTTTACAGCGGGAATATTCAAACATAATTTTCAAAAGTATGGGGACTATTTTTTGCATATTTGTTTAACCATTTTGGGGTAGTGTTTGACTATTGTTGTTTTTCTTCCAAAATCCCCCTGTAGGAGGACAGGCCCGACTTAAGCTAAGCCCACCACTACCGGAGCTCGCAGGTCCTGGGCGCGGTGCAGAAGACCCGGCACGACGTGGAAGAGTTGCTGCGGGTGATGTCGGCGGAGTGGAGGGGCAACGACTATGACCTCCTGCGCAGGAACTGCTGCCACTTCTCGGACGCGTTCTCGCAGAGGCTGGGCTCGGGGCCCCTCCCCTCGTGGGTGCTCAGCGCCGCGAAGCTGGGCGCCGGGCTCGACGACAGGTACGGGAAGCTGCAGGAGGTGGTGGCCAAGGGCACGGAGGCTCGCGGGGCCGACCCGCTCATGGACACCTACAGATACAGCGACGTGGTGCGCGGTCTGGTCGCCGCAGGCCGCGAAGACCGCGGCGGCACCGAGACCCCCGAGGACAGCAGCGGCATGTGCATCGGGGACCTGAGAGACCTTATGCGCGGGCTGATGGGCGTCGTCAGGGGGAGGTAGATCTGGCTCGGGCGGCGTGCCGCCTGGGAACGCCGAACCCCGCGAGGCATCGGCATCGGCGCCCCTGCTCGCACAGCCTGGCGAGAGCTGGGCGGATCGGTGCGGCCCCTGCGTACGCCAGCAGGGGTGCGGCCGGTGGTGAGCGAGCCTAAAAAGCGGAGCAGCCAACACAACAAACCAGTGGGCTTTACTCGCACCAGCCTCGGCACAGTGCGGTGCCGGACCTGCTTGACATCCGTGGGCTCCCGTGCCAGGTGCCACCCGTGCTCTGGGCGCGTGACGTCGCGCTCGCGGCAGGCGCCCTGTTCTTTTTCGCCGCCCGTGCCTTCCCGCTGCGGCCGGCGGGGAGGCAGCTCGCACAGGCCGCGGGCGGCTGCCTGGCGAGGTGCGCGGCAGACGAACTGATGTTTCTCACCCGTCCCCGCCGTTGCGACTCTCGGGGAGGCAGCTCGCACAGACCGGCGGGCCGCGTCGTGGCAAAGGCGCTTCGCATGGCCGCGGTCGGCCCCGGAGAACACGGACAAAGAAACGATGCCCAGGCGAGTTGCCCTGATCAGCAAGGGCTCCCTCGAGGGCGCGAAGTTATTCGCGCTTCGCGGTCCTCGTTTCTCCTCCCCCTCCTCCTCGTCCTCCTATTCTCCCTTTGGGGGGGCGGCGCGAGAGCGCGAAGTTATTCGCGCTTCGCGCTTCGCGGAGCGCGAAGCGCGAAGTTGGGAGCCCTAGATCAGGGATGTGGAGGAGCATGCAGTGGAATGAAGGGCTGGGGAGGCCGCCGTGCCCCGAGACGGGGAGGATGGAGGAGGAATCGGAGGAGGAGGGGGCGGAGGAGGGGGACGGGGGGAGGAGGGGGGAGGAGGAACGGGCAGATGAGGAAGAGGAGGAGGAGGAGGAGGAGGAGGAGGAGGAGGAGGAGGAGGAGGAGGAGGAGGAGGGGGAGGCGAGCAGGAAGGCCGGAGGCCTCTTGGATGTCTCTCGGAGTCTCTTCGGAGGTCTCTTCGGAGGTCTCTTGGGGGCCTACTGGGGCGCCTTGGGGGGCATCTTGCCGGTCCCAGGGGGCCTCGTGGAGCGCCTTGGGTGCCTCGGGAGAGCCTCTTGGGGCCTCTTGGGGGTCTCTTGGGAGCCTCCTGGGTGCCTCTTGGGGCCTCTTGGGAACCTCCTGGGCGCCTCTTGGGGCCCTCTTGGGGCCGTCTTGGGGCATCCTTGGCAGCCTTCGAGGACATCTTGGGGCCATCTTCGAGGAGATCGATGAAAGAAGGTGGGGGGGGGGTCCGTTAGAGTCCCTGAAACCCCTGAGGAGGACTTCTTCCTCTGCTGCGGCAGCTTTGTGGCGGCGTCAGGGCGGCGACCCCGGCGCGGACGCTCAAGGTTGAGCGCCGCTGGCGGCCGGGGGCCGTCCGACATCGAATGATCTGCGCTAATTATCGGGATGCTGCGATCGCTCAAAGTTGAACTCGGGGGTGGATACGGTAGGTTTGCGTCGTGTCGACCAGCGGCGACCCCAGCGCGGGCGTTCAAGGTTGAACGCCGCTGGCGACCCAGAATCGATCGATGTTGAACGATCGGACGTTGCGGCAGCGGCCGATCGTTAAAGGTTGAACGATCCCTGCGGTGTCAAAAACCAACGCTGGGGTCGGCACGACACGAACCTGCCGTAGACCCCCCACCCTGACACGTCGATTACTGTGGGGGTGCGCATCAAGGAACCATCTGATTGTCGTCAGGGCATCCTGGGTATCTTCGCTCCGCGAGCTGCGCGGTGACTTCCCGCAGCCGTTGAAGGAGCTGGTGCGTTCGGGGTGCTCTGGGTTTCCCCTCAGGTGCACCTCGCGCGCGGGTTTTCAGGGTTGGGTTTCTTGCGAGGGTTTCCTGTGGCCGCGCCCGCACTGTACTGAATTGTCCGTTTGCGCTTCTCGAGAGGGCGCCGCGGCCGTCATTTTCCAGGCCTGCGCCCGCCAGGTTTAGGCCCGAGGTCGTGCTCACCAAACCACGTCTTGCTAAATGAAAGGGGCTTCTGCCCATCCCCGGTGAAGGATCCACGCGGGCTGAGACATCAACGCCGAAACCGTCACGGCACGAACCTGCGCGTGGCGAGTCATCCCTTCCTGGCGCCGGAGAGCGTGAGCCCACTGTGCCTCGGGTGCCGTCCTGGACCAGGTAGGGATCGACGACATGGGATCGATCCACCAAGATGGCCAAAGTCCGCTTCAAAGATGGCGTCCGAGGGGCCACGTTGGCTCAAAATGGCAGCCAACATGGCTCCCAGATGCCTTGCGAGGCCCCAACATGGCTCTGGGCAGGCTCCGCAGCGGGGATACCCCCAAGGGCCCTCTCTCCCCGGAGGGGAAAAAGGGGGCTGGAACAAGAAGCGCCCTACACCACCTACGCCCAGAGGAGTGGTGGGATTGCTGCAAGCGCGGCGTCTGACCTCCCTTTCCAGTCAGCAGGAACTGTTCTCGACAAGTGCGTTGGCAGACGCCAGCCGTTGCATCTCCGCGCGAAACAGCCGCTGCGCGGGGTTCCAACCACTGCGCCCTCCAGGCTCATTCGGCGCCGCCCTTCCCCCCTCCCTCTTTCCCTCTGCACCCTGCTCTTCTTGTCCCCCTTCCCCTCCCCACTACCAAAACTCCCCCGTTTCTTCCTGTGGCTGGTGGTGGCGGAGGTGGTTTCCGTGCCCCACCCCTCTTTAGGCAGTCCAGAACACGTGTTCATTCCCGCAGGCGTTTTCCAGTCGGCCCCCGGCCCTCAGATCTGACGTTTCGCAAAAAAAGGCAGCACCGGGAAAATTCACGACCACGGACACCATCTTTCTATGGCATTTCTCGAGCCGGATCGATCTGTGATCGCTCCGGGGCCCGACACCAGGCGAAAACGCCCGATGTTGCTTCAAGCGCTTCTCTTTCAGGAGGGAAAAACAAAGACACACTTCGTCGTCGACTCCCGGGAAAACATGGGAACATATGGGAAGTGGGGGGGGAGAGAAAAGCCCCCAAAATATCGGAAAGCCTGGGGAATCCTGTTACTCGTGTGTATTTATTTGTGTGTCCCAGGGCCCCTTCACTGCTGCCCGAAGCCGACCGACCGCCGCGCACCCAGCCTCCGCCTGGGGCCACCATGGCGGGCCTGGAGGCGCTGCCGGCAGGCGGCGTCCAGGAGCTGGCCGGCGCGGCCGCCACGGCGGAGGAGCTGCGAGCCTGCAAAAGCCTGGCGGCGCGCACCGGGCGGGGTGGCGCGAGGGGGGCTGGCCTTCCAGAGTCAAGCAGTGGCGAAGCGTCCTGGCTCGCCTATTAGCCCTACCGAACACAATGTTCTAAGAACCCTTTCGGTGGTTTCCACGAGATGCTCGAAGAGCATGTCTGGCTCGGGCTGTCTTGTTTCAACACAGAAGGCTTAAGTTCTAAGAACATTGTCTCTGTTCTTAGAACGTTTTTGGGTTCGAAGAACATGTTGTGGTAGGACTGTAGGAATGCCGGGACGGTCGGTCCCTGCTCAATAGAAAGAGGGCGGGGTGCTTCTCAGAGGGGGGGGGGGGCTGCCTTCTCAGAGGGCCCTGGGATGCTCAGTGCGGCTTCCTGGGAGCTTCTATGGTCACCGAGCGCGTTCCACTGCTCGCACAGTGCCTCCTCGCAGACGTCCAAAAAACACATGGCTGCTTCGATGTCATGCATCGTAGATCCCCCACGGCGGGTCCAGGCCATCTGCGAGCAGTTACTTTGCGGGAAGTGGAACGCGCTCGTCGATCTGGGGCCGTCTGAGGAGGCCCACGCTCTCAAACCCCCCTCTCGCACCCCCCCCCCCCCTTTGTGCGCGCCGCCGAGATCGGCGGCTGCTGCGGGAAGGGCACGCCCCCGCTGCCCCTGGGCGCGGTGCTGGCCCGGCTCTCCTTGGGGGCGGAGGTGCCGATGCCGCTGCCCTCGGCTGCGTTTGTTTTTTGGGGGGCCTCCTGGGAGGCCCTCGTCGCCGCGGCTGGCTTCGCCTCGAACTTCGGGGCTCCGAGCGCACCCTGGGAGAGGTCCGGGGAGTAGCGTCAAGTCGGGCCTGTCCCTCTACAGGAGGAATATTCAGAAATAGTCAGAAGTAGTCACGGGATAATTTTTTGAGCATTTTTTGTGTTAGTTTTTGGTGCATTTTTGGGCTATTTTTATCTGTCTTCCAAAATCCCCCGGTAGGAGGACAGGCCCGACTTAAGAGTAGCGGTATCGGTATCCTTTGGTTTCTGCAGGCTCCCCGCGCTGCCGCAGTGGAGGCTGTCGGATGACCAGAGGGCCATCAGCCGCAGCTTCGTGGCGAAGCACTGGAAGGCCGCCATGGACTTCCTCAACGCCGTGAGCGCCGTGGCGGAGGAGGAGGGCCACCACCCGGACTTGCACCTCTTCGATGGTCTTCGGGACGTGTTTGAATGTTAGCTCCAGAATGAGAAAGGGAGGACCCCCGTCCTCTCTCGGGGAAAACAGCTGGCGGCGAACGATTCATCTCGCTTTTTGGTGCACGTCCGAAGTACGTACAGTCCAGTCGTTGTCGGGCCTCTGGGAACTTCTTGGGGGCCCCTTGGAGGCCTTTTTGGGGCCCCTTGGGTCCTCGCGGGGGCGTCTGGGAGGCCTCTTGGGGGCCTCTGGGAGGCCTCTTGGGGGCCTCTCGGAGCCTCGTGTGGGCGCCTTGGGGGCGCTCTTGCGCTGTCTGATCCCTTCGGAGACTGTCTTGGGGTACTCTTGGGCCGTCTTGGGGGCCTCTTGGGGCATCTCGGCGGCCTCTTTGGGCTGTCTGGGGGCCCTCTTGGGCAGTTTCGGGGCCCTCTTGAGGGCTTCTTGGGCCGTCTGGGGGCCACTTCGGAGGCTGTTTCGGCCGTCCTGGACCTCTTAGAGTAGAGTCGAAATAGGCGGGAACGCTGAAATCTTCAAAAAACGCTGGGGGATTCAACTGTTTTTGGCCTCTGGAGGTGCTCTTGGGGGTCTTCTGGGGCCCTCTTGGGGCGTCTTGGGGTCTTTGTATGCCCTCTTGGGGCCATCTTGGGCCGTCTTGGGGCCGTCTTGGGCCGGGTCGTCTTGGGGCCATCTCGAGCCGTCTTGAGGCCCTGCTGGGCCCCCAAGAGGGCCAACAGGCCCAGCGCATTGATGTTCAATAGGTTTTCGTAGGTTTTTGGGCCCAGGAGGGGAGGGGCCATCTTGGGTCGGTGGAAGTGGCGTGGCCTCGGGGGGGGGTAGGGGGGGAGACATAAGAATGTAACACAATACAGTTTGCAGCAATTGTGCAGTCATTGGATACATTGGATGCGTTGCATTACCGCCTCCGCGGGCCTGCCTCCGGCAACACGCCACCTCCGGGCGTGGATTCGACAGGCTTGTGCCCCAGCCGCCGACCCCTTTTGACTCGTCGTGTGCTTCGAGGTTCCCTTGGATCGGGTTGGGGGGGCGCGACCGTGCCCGTGCTTGATCAGAGCCCCGAATCAACTGGGGTAACTCGGGTCAGGGCTAACTCGGGTTCGTTTTTCGGGAATCCGAACCCGACTTACCCCGGACCCGAGTTACCCCGGATAACTCGGGCGTCCAGAGCCCCGAATCATCAGGGGTAACTCGGGTCAGGGGTAACTCGGGTTCCTTTTTTGGGCATCCAAACCCGAGTTACCCCGGGCCCGAGTTACCCCAGATAACTCGGGCGCCCAACTTGAGAGGCAGTTCTTCTGAGGCCTCTTGGGCACCAGGTCGGTGCCTCCGCGGGCCTCCGAGCCTTTGGGGCGCTTGCTGGCGGCCTCAGAGGGAGGAGGGAGGAGGGAGGAGGGAGGAGGGAGGAGGGGGGAGGGGGGAGGGGGAAGGGGGGAGGGGGGAGGGGGAGGGAGGAGGGAGGAGGGAGGAGGGAGGAGGGAGGAGGGAGGAGGGAGGTTGCGGCGAGGAGTCCGCGCAGTCAGTTCGCGGTCGGGGTCCTCAGGGTTCCTTCCTGGGGCCTCTTCGGGGCGGCCTCGGGGGCTCCTGGGGGCCCAGGTCTGGGGCCTCTTTGGAGCCTCTCGGGAGCTCCTTCGGGCTGCCCAGGAGCCTTTTTGTATGGGGCCTCCTGGGGCCCATTTGGGGGCCTCTTGGGGTCCTTTTTGGGGTCTCCTGGAGGGCTCTCGAAGCCGAGAGCTCGAGACGTGCGTTCGGGTCCCCCATGCGGGCGCCCTCTCTTGGGGGCGTCGTTTGGGCCTCGTGGGCCGTCTTGGAGGCCTCTTGGGACGGCCTGGGGCCCTCTAAGGCCGTTGGGCCCTCGTGGGGGCCGTCTTGGGGCGATATTTGTCGGGGGTGTCTGGGGAGTATTGCAGCGTCTGGCTACCGAAAAGGCGAGAAGAGCGAAATCCTTCGAAACCCTCAGATCAATTGATGATGTTTGCCTCTTCGGATCCTCTTGGGAGGCCTCCTGGAGACCTTTTGTGCCATTACATGGCACAAGCGGTCTCCAAGACGCCAAAGATAGCATCCGAATTGTGGATGCTATCTGTGGCGTCTGTGAACGATTTGTCCGCAACGCGGAGCCATCTTGGAGCATCTTGGGAGCCTCTTGGGCTCTCTTGGCTTGTCTTAGGGCCCTCTATCCCCCCATTGTGCGTTCGTTCGGGGCCCGAGGGGGGGGGGGGTCGGATTGCCTGTGCGATTCGTTATTCTTCACCCGCGGCTGCGGCGGCTACGGCGCTGCGGCGCTTCAGTTCTTGTTGCCCGCTATGGCTCGCGCGATGTCGTGAGGCGGGGCTGCGGCGATCTGGGGCCGCTCAAACGTTACGCTTCTTGGCCCAAAGCGTTTAGCCCAGCCCGAGCGGGCCCCATTACGCGGCCGCTGATCCTCCTGAGCCGTTTGGGTGGGCGTAGTTCGCTAACGCGGGAAATTAGACGAACAGTGGCGAATTGTCCACTGGAACCTAGCAGACAAGGACGCCCACTATGGAAGTTTGGCTGAGCCAGCATCAACACTAAACTGGGGCTCGGAGGGGGCAGCGCCGGGTGATGCCAGGAAATCGGGCCGAGCTAGCGGAAGCACAAGACGCGCGTGCACAGAATGACAAAAGTGTTACGAGTATGAAGCATGTGCCAATTTTGCTGTTGTTGAAGGAGCACGAGTCCAGAGGAATGCGTCGGCACCAGGATAACCATGGCGACATCAACGTTGACAGCATAGCTGCCACGAATGACATGGCACAACAACTGCAGGCCGCCCAAACTGCATCCGTCTGCACAGAAAGCCGTAATGCTACTGACCAGGCACCCAAACTCAACGCTCAGCGGGTTTGCCGCCCTTCCTACCACCGCGGCCAGCATTGTAAGGCGTGGCCTTGGCCTGTGACTGCCGCCGCGACCGCCTGCACTATTCGAGGGGCGCTTGCTTGGCAAGCGGCGCGAACAGCTGCCGCCAAGATGGCGGCGCCATCAGCGGACATGGCTCCTATGCGTTGCCTGGGGGTGGCGCAGCAAAGACAGCCCGCCGTAGATTTGACCGCGCTTAGCCCCTTGTCGCTGCGACAAACAGAAAAAAGCCAGTGTGTGTGTGTGTGTGTGTTTGTGTTTGGTTGCCCTGATCAGCTCCACCGAAGCCACGCGGCCTGTGCGGGCCCTCATAAGGATGCCTGCGTCGCATCTCGCCGGTGGACATGCACCCAGACATCCGATGTCAAAAAAAGCAGAGCCCCCAGAAGCTCGGACCCTCTCCCTGGGGCCAATTTCTCAGCCCGGGTCGTCTTGCGTGGTCCAGGGGCCCGGCGAGGGCCCCCAGAGGCGAGAAACGGCCAGCAGCATCCCGCCGTGATTTTGTTCACCACGCGAGCATGTCTGGGAGTCAGGAGGAAAAGAAACACACAGACACAATGAATCGTCGATTACCCCGAAGATATGGGAAACTATGGGGAGTGAGGGGGGAAGACAAAAGCCCAGGAAAAACATTGGAAAATAGGGGGAGTCCTGTTATTTTTTTTTTTGGTGTGTGTGTGTATTTGTTTGTGTGTCCCAGGGCCCCTTCGGGGAGGGGGGGCCGTCGATGGGGAAGCGCACGCTGGCGCTGACGCGCGCCCTGGGGACCATCGGGCCTCACTGGCTGGCGCTGCGTGCGGGTGGAGCTCAGCACGCACGCCATCGGCGGCCTGTCGCTACCGGACCTGGTGCCTGCGGGGCGGGGGCACGCCGGGCCGCCGCGGGGCGGGCAGGATTCCAGGTCTCCCAGGTGTCGCAGGCCTAGAGATTGACACCATCACCAAGATCGGCGGCGTGCCGCCACCGAGGGAAGAAGATCCCGATCTCGGTGATGGTGGTGGTATTCTGGCTTCCAGGGTGGCCGAACTGTTACCGCCAGCACCGGAATCTAGGATCAGCTTCCCCCCGTGGAGGCAGCCCCCTGTGTCGGTGTTGGTGCCCATGTCCAGGCCTCCCAAAGTGGGGTCCGAGCAGAGGGTGTCCGAGGATCGGGCCGCAACTCCGGTGCATCGGCGCTGCGGCTCCATGTTCTGCGCCGACGTCGCCACCGCACCGCCGCCGTCGCCGGTGCATCGCCGATGCATGATCTCTTCGGACCCCATTGGGAGGCCTCTAAGAACAAGCTGGGGCCGAACAGTCCTTTTGCGGGTTCGAACACAGATTCGGCGCCAGGTTGGATCCGAGGGGGGCGAGTTGAGACAACAATAATGATGGCCGACTTCGAGCTGCCGCTGTCTCACTGCGCCCTGCTTCGGAGACCAGGGGCAGCAATGTGATGCGTTTCGAGGTGTCCAGGTTTTCCAGGTTTTCCAGGTTGGCCCTCGTCGTGGACAAGACCACGGCGGGAGGCTCTTGGCCCTTCTCGGCTTCCGGGGAGCCCTCGCCGAGCCCCGGGGAACGTCAGAAAACCGACCCGGGAGGGAAAGCCATCCCGAGGGAAGGAGAGGTCGGGCCTGCCCTGGACCCAGATCACAGAGCAGCCAGAAGACATCGCGTGCTCTGGGGATCTGGGCATGGGGAGGCGCTGGGCGGCGCGCAGACTGGCGCCAGCCTCGGCACGAGGGGCGCGGAGGCGCCCCCGTGGGGCGCCGCGGGAGGCGGCGCCAGAGTGCTGGCGCCGCCCCAGGGCTGCTCCGGGGGCCCCTGTGGAGGGCAGCCAGGGCTCTTCGGGCGGCCCGCCCGTGCGCAGCCTGGAGCCCTGCCATGCGAGGACGCGTTCCGGCCCCAGCCCGTGTCGGTCCCGAGGCAGAGGGGCAATGTTTGGTTGACGTTCCAAGATGTCCGGGCTTTCCTGCTGTTCCGCGCGGGCTCCAGAGCCCCAGCGACGAGGGCAGATCGGTGCTCCAGAACTCCTGGAACGCAGCTTGGGCCAGCCGTATCACTCGAGGCCCCCCCAATGGAGCGTGGCGACCACACCGTGTGGTGAGTCAGTGGAGATTCGGGGTCGCCTAATTTTGGGACTCGGGCCGTTCTCCGAAAGAAGTCTCGGGCGACTGGAGCTTCCATGGTCCCCACACCGTGCGGAGCCAGACCGTGCGGTGAGGTCTCTTGGGATTTCGAGGTCACCACGCGGTCCGTCACCATACGGTTTGGGGGGCCCCCAGGCATACTGGCATCATGATTGTCTTGCGTGAGCGAATGACCGGGCCTGGCCCCGGCTCGAGCCAATGTCTTGGTGGACGTATAGAGGCCCGGGCAGGCCTGGAGGCCTGAGCCCAGAACGGACTTGTGGCGGCGCCTGTCTGTTACGCGCAGCAGTGGCCCTTCGCTGGAGTGGCCCTTGGGCGACCTCCCTGGGGCACCCCGATCGCCCTTGGTGCGACTCCCTGCGGCACCCCTCCCCCCTTTTCCTTCTCACCCCTAAGATAGAGTCGCGAGCCTAAGGCCACTCCTGCTTGGGGTCGCTCGTGCATGCAGCTGAGCTTTGTGGCGGTAGATACTTTCCTTCTTCGTTCCGACATCGGCCCCAGGGCAGACCCGGAGGTCATACCCACCGCGGCTTCGGTTCAACATTGGCTTGGGAGTGAGGCCAGACGGCGGCGGTGGTGGTGGTGGTGTTGGTGGTGTTGTTGTTGTTGGTGGTGGTGGTGGTGTATCGCTGTTTCTCGCCCTCCATCTCTCCATGCCCCCCCTCTCCCTCTCCCTTCATTCGTGCCTCCTCCGCCCTTCTCTCCCTCCCCCCTCCATCTCCCTCCACTCGTGCCTCCTGCCTGGGCCTCTCCCCTGGCCCCTCAGAAGTGACCTCTTGGCCCCCTCCCTGGGGCAACGCTTGGAGCCTCTTCTGTGCAATGAACCCGTGTAATACCCTCATATCTACTCCTTACTCTCCTGTCTCCTGGCCGTTTGGGCTCGGGTATTGGCATCGATCAGACTGTTGATCGCGCAGGAGGGAAAGATCCCCATCTTTCCCTCCTACCCTCTACCTGCGGATCAGGGGTTCTGTACCTGTGTACTCCAACCCCATACCCATCGGTCGTTGAAAGTAGGTATTTTTGGATTCCCAGATTCCAATCTACTTTGAGCGCCTTTCTACTTCAAGAGACGAGTGGGTCTCCCTCTTCCCTCCTCTTCAGGAGGCGGGCGGAAACCCAATCTATTTCCAACGCCTTCCTACTTCATGTTCCTACCTACTTCTTCCAACCGATGGGTACACATCTTCTGGCCAGCCTGTGGCCAACTCTGCCTCCGCCCCCACCCGAGCTTTGGGTTCTCCTCCCGGGGCCAGGTGCTTCCCCCCGGGGCCGCTCTGTTGCGGGCCAGCCTCGGAGGAGGGTCAGCCTCCTCCTCCTCCTCCTCCTCCTCCTTCTCCTCATCCTCCTGCTCCTCCGTAGCCATTCTGGCTCAAGATGGGTTGCTCGGGGGGCTTTCAGCCTCCGTGCTTCACTGGATCGCACTACCGTGCGCAGGCAAGAGTGTGTGCACTCTGGCAGTCGGGCGGCCTCCTTCCAAACTCACGCGCGCCATGGCGGGGAGCGGCGGCGTGGGTGCTGGGCGTGGGGGAGGCGGCCGCGCGGCGTGGCCTGCGAAGTGGAAGTGCTCGGTGTGCGACTACTACAACTTCGCCGAGAGGGCGTGCTGTCGCAAGGGGTGCCAAGCTGCGGGGTGGCCAGCGCCGCGGCAGCTGGGCGCCTTTCCTCCGCTGCGGGGGTGGCCTGCAGGCGGCGGCGGTGGTGGTGCTCCTGGCGGCGCTGGCGGCGGGCGCGGCGGGCGTGGGGCAGGCGGCGGCAAGCCTCCCACACGTGCCCCGTGGTGGCGAGGCGGAGAAGGTGGCGGCCGTGACGCTGGTGGCGCCGTGGAGCTCAGCGAGGAGCAGCGCAGTGGCTTCGTGTGCATGGCAGAGGCCGACTTCGCCCTCACCGCCGCGCTCCTGGCCCCGAAGGTCCGCGAGCAGCTTCTGCAGGCACGGAGGCTGCGTGAGGGCGGACTGGGGGCCGAGCTGTCCAAGGACAAGACGGTCAAGGCGGCCCAGGTGCAGGCGGACGCCAAGGTCTTGCAGGTCAAGAAGTTGGAGGGCCAGCTGGAGCAGGCAAAGGCCAAGGCGGTGGCGGCCATCAACGAGTCGGCCAGCCTCGCGGACAAGTTGGTGCTGCTGCGGAAGGAGTGCGACGAGGCGGCGGCCAAGGCACGCGAGGCGCTGGCGGCTCAGCGCACCAGGGTGGCGGCCGAGGAGGCTGAGGCGGCGGCAGCAGCCGCCGAGCCGAGAGCAGCACCAGCAGCCTCCCTGGAGTCGATACAGGAGGCGATCGGCGGCTTGTCGAGGGACGAGATCGCGAAGCTCGGGAAGGTGCTTGCGGAGCTCAGCGGCATGCCAGGCGCCGCCGCCGCAGCGTGGGCGCCTCCCCGTGCGCCTGTGGCAGCGGCGGTCCCTGTGCCCTCGGCGGTGCCAGCAGCAGCGCAGCAGGTGGACGCTCCCAAGGAGGAGGGGCCTGGCGTGTCGCAGGCGGCGCAGCAAGCGTGGCAGGACATCACGTGCGGGATTGAGGACCCCGCCAAGAGGGAAGCAGCGGAGCAGTTGCTGGGCGACGCCAAGAAGATGCGGACGGAGGTCAAGCAGATGGAGGAGGAGTCCTAGCAAGAAGTGTGGGGTCTGGAGGATCTGCACGGTCAACGTCAATGCGTTCAGCAACCTGGGAAAGTGCATGGCGGTGAGTGAGGTGCAGGACTGCGACGCCATACTAGTCCAGGAGACGAGGCTCCTGGAGGGAAGGAGCAGTGATGCGGAGGCGCAGCTCCGCAGCCAAGGGTGGCGGGCGAGAGGCACGCCTGCAGTGCCGTCAGCGGCAGGAGGTCTCAGCACAGGAGGCCTCCTCACCATGGTGAGGAGGAGCCATGGCATGGCGGAGGTGCAGGACCAGCAGGCAGCGGTGCTGGTGGCAGGGCGAGTGCACCTGTGTTGGGTGTCAGGCGTGCTGAGCAGCGGCTTCTTGCTCGCCAACCTCTACCTGGAGGCGGGGGTCGGCCTCAACGATGGCAACGTGGCCAGCCTCAGGAGGCTGGTAAGGAGGTTGAGGCAGTGCCGCAGGGACTTCGTGGTGGGCGGCGATTGGAACCTCACGGAGGAAGAGTTGCAGGCAGGCGGGGTGCCCGACATGTTCGATGGCAAGGTGGTCAGGCCCGCCTCGCCCACGTGTGCAGCGTCGGGGAGGACCATCGACTTCTTCCTGGTGTCCAGGGGGCTGGCTGCGCTGGGTGTGCGGGTGGTGGAGGCCTCGCCAGTGTACCCGCACTCGGCGGTGATCCTCGAGATCCGCAGGCAGCAAGAGGAGGAGCGCTTCAGGCTGGTCCAGAAGCCGCGGACCGTTCCTGAGGTTCGGCCGCAAGGGTGTTGTGAGAGAGACCACGGCAGCAGCTGGAGGCAAGCCAGGATGAGGGTGCAGGAGCAGCTCGCGTCGGTGCTGAGGTTCGAGGGTGAGGCCGCAGCGAGGAGCACCCCATGTGCTGAGGAGGAGGCCCCTCAGCCCAGCAGCAGTGGTGGCGCAGCAGGTCAGCGCACAGCTAGAGCTGGCCAGGAGATTCCCAGGCCAGCGAGGGGCAAGGGAGCTGAAGGGGTGTCTGCGGCGGAGAGATGGGGACCACTAAGCAGCGTGCTCCCGATCGCACCTGCGCCGCCGTCCTGCGTGACGGACGTGAATCTGATGAGGCGTTGCGTCCAGCATGGCGAGGAGTGGCAGAGCATCCTCGACAGCTGCGGGCTACGGCGAGAAGTTGGCGCGGAAGGGCTCGGCGCTGCACCAGGCGTTGAGGACCAGCCAGCGCACCTCGGGGCCCTGGCGCCAGGAGCGCAGGGCACCGACGCAGCGGAGAGAGGGGGCAGCAGCGCCGCGGGCAGCGCTGGGCAGGAGGCGCAGGCGGACATCCCTCC